ACCAGGAAATTTGCACAATAGTCGAATCTAATAGCAAGCAGTGCTTTCCCAACAAAGCGTTTATTCATTATTAGCACTAACAAGTTCAGTGGTAACTTACTTTATTAATATAGACTACCGAAGAGAAGAAAGGCATATTAAAGAGGACTATAATTGTTTTCAAAATATCAGAGTGATACGTTTTTTGTTCCTGACAGATTTAGTCATTATCATGACACCAATTTATCATATAATACAATATAGTGAGGTGGTTCAGTGGTTAAGACGTCCAACTTTCGTCAACTAAGTCGTAGTTGCGAACCCTGTTCCACCTATTTTAATTCGGGCAACTGGCTGCTGTCACTAGCTCTCACACTTAAAGTATGGCTCAATGTCAAATGCACTAGTCTACCTGGTAATTTGTTTGATAATAATAATAATTAGTATTAATACTTATGTTAAGTAGTCTGTATTATTTGTACAAATCATGTGAACTATTTGTCGTTGAGATACGGTTAAGAAAAAACACCATTTAGGTTATATTACTTTATATGAGTTCACTTGAAAAGTGACTGTTAATTTTTCTTCTTTTAAGTTAATGATATTAAAGTGTTTGTCTGTGCATATACTTATGTGTTTAGAAAATGGTTACTGTTGATAATGATATACAGCATATTTTTCTCATTACTTGTTTATGTCACTTTTCACAGGGTTTTTAGTGAGACATTATATATATATACTATCGCTAGATTGTTTTACTGATATCATCAGATAATATTTCTTGTTTCTTTATCAATTAATTCCAAACTATGACCTAAATATTTTCAATTCTTTAATAAATATGATATCAAGATTAAAAGTTTCGTTTCTTTTCAGTAGGTGAGATCGAGATTCTTAGTATATATATATATATATATATATATATATATATATATATATATATATATAAAGTATGGGATAAAACGAAAAACCAGTTTTGAAATCAATTTTTTCACTTCTGACAGTGATTGAACTTTTTATTGCTTGTGAGTACTTCTCACACCTTGGTTTTACGAAGTTTTTGTTTTCGGTTTCTCTTGTCGTTTCGTCTATCTGTTTTCTTTCTTTTCCTTTTCTTCTTAACTGGAATGTTTTAGGATTTTTGAAATCTGTTTCTTCAACAGTTGTAATTCTTATATGCATAGTCCGAACTGACTGACGTTATTTATCAAAGTATGTGGTAGGTTGGTAAAGAGAGGCGAATAAGGCATTAAATTGACTCTGCTCTTATACATCACGTGACTATCATCCATTAGCACTTATAATAATAATAATAAAAAAATAGGTTGGAGGGGTTGGAGATGAATAAACAAAGAGTATGGAAAATAATAATAAATAAAATCATTTATTAAGGCCAAGGAAGAGATAAAGGTGTTACAAATTTCTTATGAATGCAAAGACTTGGACTGTTAGCTGGAATCCCTGAAGCTTGTGATATATGTAAGAGACGAAATCGAACCCCATAAGGGAAACTAGTAGGAATACGACAAATCACTTTAAATGATCTATTTCTGTTTACTGCATGACCGCTATCGATCAAGTGTGATAGAATAGAGCTACGTTTTGTTTTGACGGTATCCTTTCTTAACAACGAAGGAAGTAAAGCGTTTCTTCCATATTTCGCGCCTTTTCTCTCGTGTTCAAGTTTCTGCGTAGATTTAGCCTGGGGGTTACTAGAAGAGCTTAGGAACCGAATCTAGCATTCAATTAGAGGACTTATCAATGGCTTTCTCCATTGGAGCAGCTGATTTCGTAGATACACATAGATGTGGCAAAGTGGAATAGTAGTATGGTAGTTCTTGAAATATTCAGTCGTGTTTGTTTTTATTTTTGTTTAGCTATAAATCCTTTGAGCTTTATCCAATTGTAGTGTTCTGAATTTATTTGTGTATCATACGAATATGTTTAGAATAAACGTCTCCCGGTTTCGTGAACATATGGTAATACTCATTGGTGTGTATTAATGGCACCCAATAGTGTTGAATTGGTAACTTTTAATAAATTGAGCATTAGGGAGATTGTTATAAATAAATGAATTTATTTGTAATATTCTAATGAGTAGAAAAATTAAATTTTCTACCCATTGGGATATTACAAATATATTAATTTATTTACTAGGTACCTTATGTTACGGTTTATAATCGTGGTCATCATCCGTGTGACTTGTAATAACTTTCATAGTAAGACTGAACTAATGATGAGCTCGTAGCTAGGATACTGAATAGACACTTTGTTACCTGAAACTTGACCAATTAGTCCTAGTTATTGGTGTCACCCTCTTCAATTACTCATGTTACATAGTAGCACTATTTCTTTATGTTAATCTCGCCTCTAACTACAATCTCTGTAAATACTCAGTTCAATCTAGAAAGTATCTACTTCAATACTTAAAAGTTGTTTTTTATATTTCGTATGTTCTACATTTAACAAAAATTTATTTAAAACAAAATTAGTTATTTGTTTTTTCCTAATTCTTTCAATGGTTAAGATCATGAGTCTGTTGAAGCTGGACCACCATGTAAAACCTGGAAGCACTGAACGGCCGTTCCGTCCTATTGTGGATCTCCTCAGCAGTGCACATACACGACCTCGCCCCCTGCGGCTCAGTGGTCTAGTGGTTAAGTGCTCGCGCGCGAAACCGGTAGGTCCTGGTTTCGAATCTCGCAGGGTGCGAGGTCGTGGATGCGCACTGCTGAGGAGCCCCATAATAGGACGAAACGGCCGTCCAGTGCTTCCCGGTTTTCCATGGTGGTCTAGCTTCAACTGACTCATAATCTAAACCATTGAAATTACTACAATCTCCACAAAACCCATCTGATATTTTCCTAATTCTGTTTTCATATTTTATTAATACTGCTAAAACGTTTTCAAATACATGATATGGACTTTAAATAAACTTTCAATCAAATATCTTCAAATATGTAACCTTTAACATAGAAAACCATTATTTTATTGTATGTATTCTGTTAAGAGCCAAGATTAAAATACAATATGGTATTTTTTTAAAATCCAAAAATCGATGTAAGAACGTAATTCATGTAACTCAATGCTTGTTTTCAACTGCAAATCTGTGATTGATTAATATAATATGAATTTTTCTAAAGTTACCATCATTCGTTGATGATAGATAGTCACGTTTGAAATAACATTACATATTAAGATTTTGTACCATCTCTATTAACTAAATCCGATAAGTTGATGATATTAAAATTGTATCCTTCAAAGCTTTTCATCAGGAAGAAGTAAATCATCATTGAGAGGTTTTGGACAACTAGCTCTTCCATAGTGTATAGGACAATGTAGAATGTAAGTTTTTGTTAACATCAAAGAATGTGATAGACCACTGATTTATTCTTTACAATGAATTTTCATTCAAAAACGTTGTTTAAAGATTAATAGTTATTAGGTTTGCCGTTAGTTGGGCAGATTTAATCCGGGCATTTCAAGGATTTTATACACTGTCGTCTTAATTCAAGTGAAATTAACAATGACCACAAAAATGTATGGGGAACATTTACAATCTCTAGAATATTTTTTTTAAAAGTGTTCTTCGAACTTTGGTATCATTCCTATTACTGCGTCAATTATAATAGGTGGTGTGGAAAAGACATAGTTTACTGAATGTATGGACTTTTCTTCATTTATTTCTAACAACTATTTATATGGCGTTTAAGTGGACAGTGCTATACTTAAAATTTATATATTTTATAACGTAGGTGATAATTGATACCTACTACACTCAGTGTGCACCAATGGTAATCAATTTAGTTTGTAGTATGCATACCGAAGTCTCATCACTTTTCAGCTGATCAAAAACGAACAGGATATTTACATCAATACATTGTGGTCAACCGAAAATTCTTACAACGAACGTTTTTATTCACTCTCTATGATGTGCATTTTAAATGGTATGCAAAGATTTGAAGTTATTATGCCAATATACAGTTGACAGATTCGTCGTGTGAAAGTGGATAGTCTATATATGAAAGACAGTAATCTTCACTATTGCTTACTCACTGTAGATTCTCTTAGTTTGTGGTCCCTGGAGTTATAAAAGGAGTTGTGGTGAAATTTGGTATAGATCAGTTAATGAAGTTATGTACTGGAATCACCAAATACATTGACTCATCATATGATGTGCATACATGCTTTAAAAAAATGGTTGATAATATCTAGAATTTGACTGGGTGAAACAAATTACACTTTTCAGATCAAAATTTATGATACTAGTATTTAAAATAACAAGATCATATTGAGGAACTAGCAACTTCTTATATAATAAAAATAATTGTTTATTGAGTTCATATGAATTATTAAAAATAATGTACTCACTATTGTTCTGTTTTTAGGTGAGTCAATTTTGATTGATACACTTATGTCACTCCAAGTTGTTACAAATTCTTTAGGTATCTTTTGGCTGGCTTTATACAAACTCTCAACAAGCACCTATCAATCTATATATATGTTTGACAATAGTTATATTCTGTCCATTCTGTGAAACACTATATTCGCCTATGTAATTCATGGATTTCTTATTAGTTTCAATTTACATAGATTAGTTTCAAATAAATTGAACATCGAGTAGAAAGTTATTAATTCATATACTCTTTGTCATGTTTCAATGAGTAGGAAATTGTATTTCTCATGTTTTGTAACTTAATGTAAGACACTTCTTCAGAGTGACTTACACTGAGTCACAAAACGTCAGAAGTACAATTTTCTACTCATTGGGATATCATAAAAATATATTTATTACTACACAGATTAGATTTTTCTAGTATATTGGTTTTGAATTTAGAGCGTTCGATAGTGTCTTCCGTGCATATTCAATCGGTAATGAATAAATTAACCTTCTAGATATATGTAGTGTGAAGCTTCATTGTTTAAGACACTTCTATACAAATTTCAAGATTTTATTCTTTTCTTGGTCCTAGTTTTCGAAAAAAATATCTTTATTGTGCTTTATGTTTATTCACTTGTAGGATTTATCTTTACTGGCCAAAGAAGTACATCGTTTACGTGATCAAATTTCTGAACGAGAAGAAGAAATTGTTGAGTTGAAATCGGAAAGAAATAATACAAGGGTATGTTGTTTCTCAAATTTATTTAGTTATATTTTTATATTTTCATAAGCTTAAACTTAATCTATTAAATTTAACTTCTAGCTAGTGATTGTTGATGGTGAGTGAGGTGGATGCGTTCACTCCCTATCTTCCTTTAAGTTCTAGGTTTTAAACTTCTCCCATACTTTTTCAGCGAGTTCATTCTTTTCGAATCATATTGTTTTCGTTTAATCCTTTCTCACAAAACTGATATTATCACTATCTCTGTTGTGTGCTACTTATATTGACATGATGTTAGTCGTGAATAGAAGGTCTGGCAGCAGAGAGACAAGAGGATCGAACAGTAAAGAATGGAATCAGAATGCAATTTGTATGAAAATACAAGAACAATGAAGTCTGAGTCATTTTGAGACAATTGGTGGACATTTTGTAAATTAAGCATTTACTATATGATTGTAAGATTTTATTAACAAGTCCAGTAATTTTGTGTCAAATATATCCGATTGTCGCCCACCCGTGTTCTGTTCACTACAACTCTACTATTCTTGGATTAATCATGATAGTTTCAATGGCTCTTTTGTAGTGTAACAACTTGAAATGATCCAGATATACACCAGGTTCTACGCCACTTAAGACTTATTAGACTTCTAACCACATTATAACTGTGTCAGCTACTTTCTGGAACATATATTTTAGAGGAAAGATACTTAAAATTTTCGAGTAATCTGGGCATCTATGGATTAGCAAGCGATAATCGTGGTTTCAGGTGAAAGTTTGTTTGACAGCAAAGCAAACAAACAATCGTTTCTCACTCACACGCACATACACGTGCAACACTAAAAAAAATGTAAAGTAGAATAAAATTTTAATGTTATATATCCTAAATGATCGAATGCACTAGACTGATATACTGTGTCTGATTGTTACACTGACCTGTAGTTTTCCCAGACTCCTTTAGTGATCGATTTTTAAAATTTGATGTGTATAATATTTAATCATATTTTCGAATCATGATTATCAAATTTTTTGACACTTATTTATGTGTAAACCTTCTTTAAAAATTAATTTCAGTTACTCTGAGATTCACCGCTTCATACTCATGTGTTACATTTAAGCATTAGGAGTAAAAACAAGAAACCATGTATCTTAATTTTCCACTGATTATACCAGTTCACTGGACTTTATGAATGTGTAAAATAACCAATCTTCAACTGAAAGATAACTAGTATCCCTCTAAAAAGAATGTTATCATTACCAATTGTTTGTTAATACTATTTTTGTGTGTGATCGATGAACAAGCTGTAACTCGATTAAGGTAGTGTGTGTTTACTTTCATTTAAAGTCAATTTATGAATAGTGTACAATTTTATGTTATGAAGAAGTAGATAAATGATAATGTTGATGATCATGAGAAAAGGATAACAAAGTCGATAAACCGTTTGATTATTTTTATTGTGTTAAATAAATAATCCAGTTTATCGTTTTATTCTTAGGTGGTAGATCACTTTTTAAAATTTTTGTATAGTGAATGAGTTTTGCTACTTTTAATATAAGATGAATCTTTAAATCATATGTATTTTATTATTTTAGGGAGTTTTTGGAAACTTTTAGGTTTTTAAAGTCTATATCACGGAATGATCTTAGTTAGGCAGCTACTGAAAACCAGAGAGCAATGAATAACGTTTGTCCTAATCTGGGACTCCTCACTAGCATACATACATATTTCTACTTTGGATCGAACTCTGGACGTTTGGATTTCCTGTTGAGCTCTTTAGATCATTGAGTCAAGGTTTAGTAGTTTGTATATCTGGTTTAAATTAAATCACCAACTCACTGGTATGGATGTTGGGCTCATGCAATACAGGCTGCAAGTTCTGGACTTAATAGTTTGTGGGATGGTCTTATGTGTTGAGGATTTCTGTACTTGTATAAAACAACCTTACAGTGCTTCTTGGTTTTTAATGGTTGTTTAACTAAGGTCGATTTATCATATTGTAGTGTATAAAATAATTTAATTAATCAAATATATGTTATTCCTTATTTTATTGACAGAATAAAATCTCTTTCCTTTTTTATTATTGTTTTTTAATTGATTTATCTCAGCTTCTTTTAGAACATTTAGAATGTTTAGTTGCTAGACATGAACGTTCATTACGAATGACAGTTGTAAAACGACAAGTAAATAGTCCTGGTGGTGTTAGTTCTGAAGTCGAAGTATTAAAAGCATTAAAATCATTATTTGAACATCATAAGGCATTAGATGAACGTGTACGTGAACGTTTACGTACAGCATTAGAACGTGGTGCACAACTAGAAGAAGAAGTGCGTTCATCTGCTGCTGATCGTGCTGCATTAAGAGAACAATTAGCTGCAGCATTAGCTGGTGTAGCTGCTGCTGCAACAGCAGTTCAACAAAGACAACAACAACAACAAATTGTATCAATTGTGAATGGGAATGGAAATGGTAAGTTTTATTTTTAAAAATATTTAATTTTGGTTCATTATCATTGTTTATTTCTTTTCAGCATTATTCATTTATTCATTATTAGAAGTTGAATATTTCCATTTTGAGTATCTGAGTAATTATCATTTAGGTATTTGTTTTCAGTTAAGAAACATTCATAAAAATGTCACACATAAACTTTTAGCTTTCTAACTTAATCTACTATAAATAAGACATGCTCGTGATAGGAAGATAAACTTAAAGTAAGTCCTGAGAGATAAGTGAATTAGTGGAAATTGTTATAATTTGAATTAACGGAGTGAAAAATAAAATTAACTAGTAATGCTGTTAGTAGTGGAAAGTAGAAGAAGCAGTAAAGAGTAAGTTAAAAGAATCAATGACAATTGGTAATTGAAAAAATATGCATAGTTTAGAAGGCTGATCTTTTTTTAATATCTCACTTCTCCTGTAGATATAGCATAATGAAGTAGTTGGTGACTTGGAGTTGTGAAGGAGTTTTTTTAACAATTGATAATACGAAATTTCTCTATTGTTATAATCAATGAGTGGAATGTTAGTCTTTGGATGATGTGGCTGAATGATGGATATTTACTAAACTGTAGTATTGACACAAATACTTGAGTGATTAAAAATCAAGAAAACCGGAGTTCAGATGAATAGGACTTTTATGTTAAAATGTTTGTTTACAATATAAAATGTTGTAGGTAGTTGGAAGGAATTAACATGTAGGTCACTCGTTCTTCATTTTGTTCAAGACCTGACTGTTAAGCCTAATTTTCAAACATCATATCACTCAGTTGGTATAAATAATTATTTTCTCAACTATTTGTATCGGTAGCAACTAATTGTCTCATATAATCATTGCAATCAATCGGTTTGATTTTTGATATAACAGGATGAAAAGTTAAAATTAGATTGATTTGCTCATTATGATCTTTGTTCAACATTCGTTCCGTTTTAATTTGATGTGATGATTACTCAATGTAGTATATTTTTGTTTTCTGGTATAACATTCTTTTCTGTATTAAACACGATATTCTTGCATCAAGTTAACATGTACTATGCTCAGCATGAGATGTAGCATATGATTTGTTATAACTTTGAGCATTTTTCATATATGTGATTTCATCCTAATTATTAATCAAAATGAGTGTACTTTCGACTATGATTGTCGTTTTTGTGTTTCGGCGTTACTAGCAGAGCTTACGAGCCGGATCTGGCGTTGAAAAAGAAAACATATCAATTTCATTCTTAATTCCCATAAAATTACATTACAGTTAGTAGAGTTAAAAAAAAAGAAAAATGACAATTATGAGTGTAAACAGAATATACCCATTGAGATATCAAATAAGAAAGATTGGTTCAACGAAGAATTCTCTTTGCGACGAATTTATTTTCAAAGCTGTACAATCGCAAATGTCTACTTAGTTTTTTTCGAAATGATAGTAATAACAACTTTAGTCATCATAAACATGGTAATAGTAAATTAGCATAAAGAACAGTATAAAAAACGTTACTTTTATTCAGGAAACCAATAATAATTGTGTTGTTAACAGCTTGAATATTCATTATGATGGTAAATAAAGAAATATTTGGAAAAAATATAAGTCTCAGCGTAATACGATGAAATGTTGAAAATCAAATGACCTGTAATCAGGAGCATCATAGGGAAACAAAAACAAATCAGTTTGCTGCTAAAATGTTTGTGGAGAAGATAGAAAGGAAGTAGATGGGATGTGACTCACTAGTTTTGCCTTTTATTAAAGTTCTAATAAATTATAACACTAATGAATGAGTCTAGTTTTTTGGTCAGTATCTACTAAAATTCATTAAATACGTATGTTGTCTAACATTAAATGTTCATAACGTTCATATGGTTTGTAATTTATTTTTGTCTTTAAATCAGTTGATTCTAATCATACCACACAAATCAGTAAAGATGATCTTGATGGAAATGATGTAGGCAATAAACTAGCCTCATTACCTCCAGGTGGACCACCAATCACATCAAAAGATTCAAACGATGAAAGTTCATCGGCAGAAAATTCCGGTGTAAAATCAGTTGCATCCGTTGCTGCAGCTGCAGCGGCTGCTGCTGCGAGTGCTGTAGCTGTTGAACGTAAACTTGTTGAAGTCACTACAAAATCTAGAGATTTAGAAGCATCTAATACAACATTACAAAAAGAATTATCACGTGCTCATGATCAGGTAAATGTGACTTGTATTTTTTTGTTTTGCTTGCCTGTTTGCTATACTTTTATCTTTTATAATCTAGTGTTTAATGAAAATTTCTCACGGTTGAAGCCTGTTATAAATTGTGGCCTTTGTACCCAGTTAATATATGACGCGATACGATCGTTAATTAGAGTCACCGACTTATTGACCGGACCAATGACGCATAAACCAGTACTAGCAGCCTGGAATTCTTATTGATCCTAGTGGTTGAAGCTTCTCGCCTAACCGGACGGTTGAATCCAGAACGCATATATTAACCTGCCTTATATCGAATAATATATGTCAAACATACTTGGTTAAAATTCACTTGTTGTTTTACTTGTATCTTCCCATTGTTATTCAGGACTGAAATTGATCAGTCTCATGTTGGTATATGTGCATCCTGTGCGGATTTCCTCGATATAGCCTTAAGTCACAAGCTTTTTAAGTAAAGATGGATAGTGGCTAGCAGTGGGATCCAGGACGCGCGTGTCGTCCTATTTGGGGCTCGTCAACTGAGTGTACCTGGTTTATATACAAACAAAATCAGACCACATCACACCATAAAATAGGAAGTAACATTTGTACAAGATCAAGCCAACAGTGGCTGTGATTGTGAGAAAATGTGACTAATAGATTGAGAATAACCTGGGAATAATAAATCATAACACTAACCAATGGGTCAAATAATAAAAGGAATATAAATATTTATAGTTTAGTTTCTTAACAGTTAAATAATGAGAATATATGTATAATATTAATCCACCCATAGTAATCAGAAGTTACCCATAACTTAATCTTCTTTAGGATATAACGAAGTCAAATTCTAAATAATGATTTACACAGTATTACTTCATTATAATTTTCTAATGACTGAAGTATATGACGATAGCTTCTAATTGTTTTTACATCTGAACTAAATAATTATTATCGTTCAAGAAGCTATTCTAAATCACCCCAGTTACTTAGCAACCATTTTTGATATACTTAAATTCGATTTGAATGGAGATAAATGGCCCCATGTCATGAAATCACGTTAGTTCAACTCCAGCACCTGTTCCAATCTGTCTTTTATTGTTATTTACACTATCTACCAACTAACATTCTTCTGAACAGTTTAATAATTTCTGATTACTGTTTTATCTATGCTAAATTATCATTAGATGAAATATGAGCATTAATGTGAATAAGCAACAGTGCTATATATATATATATATTCTCTGGCCTAATGTGAAACAACCGAGACTAAACTAGTTTTTAAAAATAATTATCGAAACTATCGATGAACTGTTATTAACTTGTCAAAATATTAGCTGAACTAATAATAATGATAATAATAATGGTAATAATAAAGCATGAAAGTGCAACGATAGTGAACAAAAAGGTATTTTTATGTTTATTCTCATCCCGTTAATATTTTATTTCATCCATGATGGAATTATCCAATTTAATGATGAGTATTACTTTTTGCAATGTATGAAAATTTTAATTTTTTTAAGTTTGATTGAAATAAATATATTGTATAGGTAGTCACTCGTAAATCGAAATAATGGAATCATTCAAACTCTCATTTAATGGTGATATAAGTAGTATACTCGTTAAATAAGTCAGAGGTCATTAGGGCTCAATAGTAACGCAGTTGATCATTTGTTTGATACGAAAGTTTCTGGGTTTGAATTTCAATGTGAGTATGAACACTGGAATGTGGAAGATACATCCGGATGACGAGTTGTAAATTGAACGGAGCATGCCTCCTGGATACCCGACCGTTATTTGTAGTCTGTCTATTCTGTTATATAGAACTTGAAATTTCGCTATACCGCGTAAAACTTGACCACTCGAACGCTCAAACCCTCCAAGTTGCAGGTAAGAAGATAGAAGACGAGTGGGAAGGAATCTTATTCCATACAGTGTCAGATATGATAGAAAAACGCTCGAGTATTTATAATTTTTAGTAAAAACGTCATCATCATTACAATCATTCAATCAGCATGCAGTGATGTTTAGCATTTGCCCAATGGAGAAGTTACATTTCGTGATTATGGAATGTTATTGTAAACGATGATTGGATGGAATGTCTTCGGCTCTTTCAGAGCTTCCTTGAGTTCACCAGGAGCCGTCTTCATATATTCTATGATAGTATTGTTTTTTTTTTATTTGGTTCACTTTATAAATATATTTCTTATAAATATCTCAGAAACTGATTTCGAAATACCTTAAATTTTTCGTCGTGAACCAATATCAACTGAAGGATTTTTGGAAATTAGGAAGTATTATGTGGTTGTTTTTTTAGTTTTAGACTCCCCAAATAGCGTGTTCTCATAACTCTAAATCTTGAACCTTCAGGGTTTGTGGAAGCTACGATGCTTTCATGTCATTAAATTGGTAACCTGTGTCGCACATTTTCGCAATATTGTGTAATGACAATCCATTAACAATAATGATGTTTGACGTACTTGAACTGTAAGCTTAACTTCTTTGTAAGTTGAAATTAAGGTGAAATTGAGCGGTTGTTTCATGGTCGTACGTATGAACTATGCAGTGCCTACTTTGGTGTAGGCAGTTGGATAGTATCACGAGTTGCTGGGTTTAAATTGTTGCTCAGAATCGGGTTTTGTAAATTCTTATTATTAACTTACTTACTTACTTACACCTGTTACTCCTAATGGAGCATAGGCCGCCGACCAGAATTCTCCAACCCACTCTGTCCTGGGTCTTCCTTTATAATTCCATCCAATTCTTGTTCATTTTTCTCATGTCTATCTCCATTTCCCGGCGTAATGTGTTCTTATTATTAAAGTTAACTACATTTACAGTAAGTGACTTGTTTAATGAAGATAAAAAAAGTTGAATTCATAGGTCGCTATAAGCTGATCGGCCGTTTTGTTCTAGTATGGGACTCCTGGGCAGGGCGCATCCACAATCCCGCATGCGGGACTTGAACCCAGTCACGAGGTTAAGCGTCCGCGCGCGAGAGTGAAGGACGAAACGGCCGTTCAGTGCTACCAGATTTTCAATGGTGGTCTAGCTTACAGCGACTCATGAACTTAACTATTAGAATCACTACAATCTCCACAAACCCCGTTCTGATCAAAAAGAAAAATAAACGAGTAAATTGAGATGAGTGAAAACAACTAATTTTGATGAATTTCTAAAAGTTATATGTTATATCGATTATCAACAACTTTAGGTCCTTTTTGTATATGTGTATTTGGTTAATTAGCTTAGATTACCCACCTTACATGAGTTAATCATATTTTCGAAGTTGTCTCCGTCTACTAGAATTTTTAAGGGATATGTAGTATCAATAATTCATCACTTAGAATGTATTATTCATAGGTTTTCACACAAGTTTAAACTGTTTTCACGACTGTATTATTCGTTTTCTTGTAATGATTTATTGTACAGTGGTAGCCTTCGGATTAGTAGTTCAGGTTTTTTATTTTCAGTTTATTATGGGATTTCAACGTAACTGGACATCTTGTTCTTACTTTTTTGTACGTCCGTTGTTTAGCAAGTTATGCAATGTCTCTATTCACAATGAATTTTTAGGTTTCCCATTAAAATTCTTTCTAAACCTTAAACTGAGTTTTTTCTTTTTAAATTCAGAAAGTTCCACGTGCGAATTTTGTTGTTTTAAACAGTGTATGGGTCATATTTGTACTATTACATATAACACTGGTATGGTAGAAATACATAAATATGAAAAAAAATCGTACAATATGTGAAGTAATGGGAATTTAGTGTATGTCAAGTAAGTTCTTAGGGTTTAAAAGATCATCACTGGGTAAATCCGTAAGTAGAATCGATTTTGAAGCCATGTAACTGAATGTTTATAGCGATCCAATCAGTGCATCACTGAGACTGTTAACGAAAAGCGTGAATTACTATGTAGAGCTTTAAGCTGTCTCAGCTTCGTCGTGTGACTATTCGGATACTTTCGGTAACATACATTTTTTAAAACTAACAATTAACACCATATAAGTCATCAGATAAACACGACTGTTGCATATTTCAACCATCGTTCCTTTCTATCTAAGGCTTTCTTTACTCAAATACTCAAGATTAATGGCAGGATAGTTCCTCATGTATGTACAGTTCATACATCGATGGATTGCTGTTAGTATCAAATTTTGCAAACTGAATTAATTTGGTATTTATTTCAACACTTAACGTAACAGCTAATATTCAAGAGTCTAGACTAGAAAAATTATTGACATTTGTGGGGACCACTTTACACATTCAATTAGAAATAAGTACTATATTTTTGGGAGAAAAACGCGTCGGTATGATTATTTAGTGGTAAGGTTACCAACATTTTTTTTCACCAAAACTAAAGAAGTATATTGCCTTATTCTTTCAGATTTCTCGTTTACAAAGAGAATTAAGGGAGTTGGAAGCTCAACGTGAAGATCAAGAAGCTCGTATTGCAACTCTGGAACAACGTTATCTTGCTACACAACGTGAAGCTACTGGCACGTTGGACAGACTTAGTCGAGCTCAGTCAGAATTGATTACACGTGAAATTGAATTAAAACAAGTAAGGGAGAACAAACAGTTTGTGAATGTACTAACTTGGTTTAATTTTTTACGATATTTTAGTTCATTGTCAATGATCTGGTTTGCGTTTTTAAGTATTTCTCCTTTTTACGAAAAGAGATTCCCAACTCCATGCTCTAACCTCCCTTTTTTCGGGCTTGACACCGGCAGTATGCTTAGAAGGGCCTCTATGGCAGTTTGTTGTTGATGTCACATTCTTCAAGTGTACAAGGAATATGAAAAACAATTTGGAACTAGTATATAACCGTTTATTACGCTAAATACAATATCACCTTTATTCGTGTATCTTTTTCCAATCTCAACCTCAAACCATGATTACTCTAAATGTGATATTTATTTTGGTTTGGTCCTTATCTTCTCATTTGGTTCATTCTTTAAGTTTTACGATTGAATAATGTTTTATTTTATTATTTTACTTTTTTCAAGTTTAGATATTGTTCAATTCCACTTAGGATGTAGTTAACGACACCCAAGTATGTATCATGTGATGACTTTGGGTGAATAAGATGTAGAATAAATTTGTAAATGTAGTCGATATTAAAAACTTACAACGAATAACAAGTTTTATGAAGTGTTAAGGGGGTTATGAGTGGACTTGGAACTTGGTTTCCAACTGATTGGGATTTATCAGCATAACTTATCGCCATTCTTGGGAGTCATTCTGCTTTCTGTTCGGTTTATATTCATGTCATTCTGTTTCACACTCTGAAATACCTCTAATCAGTCAAATAAACGAATATATTTAGCCAGGTGCTTTATAAAGAAATTTAGAAAATATGAATTTACTTGCTTCACCATAACTGATTTTTTAGCTGTTTATTTCTAACTAGAGTTTACTCTTACTGCTCTGAAACTTACCTAAATATTAGAAATTCCTATAACGTGTCGGAATTGTACCGCTATTGGCCTCATCGATCAATACTTTTTCTTGGTCTGTCGATCACTCATCTCTCTTGCTAGCGCATTCGCCGGACAATGATAAACTATTTTTATACTTTATAAGGCAATGTGAGGACCTGCCGATTGGAGGTCAGTCTTTTAAAGGTTAGGTGGTTCCATAGTCACCTAAAGTAACGTATCTATGGCAAGATTACATAAAATATGAAAAGGGTAATCATGACGAACTCCAGTTGACATGGAGAAGTCATACCGCAGTTCTACACAAACTCCGACTTGGTTGATAATATTCGAGTGAGAATGTTTATAGATATATATTCGGGGAGAGAGATATAAAGAAATCTAATTTCCCATAAAAAATTATTTTCTTCTATTGCTTGACATTTTCTATGTCATTTCAGTTTAATATTTTCGGGTCGGATGAAATTTTTAGTTAAATGTTTGTAACGGTAGAACTGTTTTTTGTGTGTTAAAACTATCTTGTCTCTGTGTTCATGAGAGAAGACAAGTTTCAATACAGACTGTGAGTATAACATTTTTAATCTTTTTTTTTTCAAGTTCCGGAAGAATGCAATGATAAACTTAAATTCATTGATTTTGACTGTAATGGTTGTTTAGGCACTAGTTATAGCTAATTCCTTATTCTAATCTATGTATGGTATATTAACTAGCTAGGATAATATATTTCCAAAAAAGGATATTGTGCATGTATGACAAGATATATGGTCTGTTTATACTTTTCATATGATTCTTTATCACGTGAATATGTCTGGTCTACTTTTTAGCTATATATCTATAAAATGATTTGTCGCTTCGTTTTCTCGATGTATAACTGTACAACGTTTAGGTCAAATCCCATGATGCATATCTTGAATTTGGTCCAATTGAACTGTTGTGAGCCATTAGTGTTTATTCTACTGCTAAGTCATGCAAATGAATATGAATAAATGATAGTCTTAATATAGTTTCGTTGTAGATGATTTGTTGTGAGTGACTTACCAAGACTTAAATCTTTCGTCTTTAAATTGTTTTCTGGTTAATTATTGAAAAATAGATTGATCATACTATAAATCTCATAGTGAATCTTTTGGTGGCGTTAGACCTTCTGAGCTGGATATTTCATATTGAGATGCTTTCATTAACTGCGTTTATTTCATAACTGTTAAGGTTTATCTCATAGGTGTCAACTTATTTCGGTTTGTTGATTTTGTTTGTGACCGGTTGTTCCTAGTAGTTTTGTTGTCTTCGTGCATATTTGCATTCTTTTTGGCTATTTTCTTGACTTTCACCTTACATGGTAATAGGTCATATCAATATCAATGTATCTATTTATTGCAGAATAATCTGACTGCCAAGCCTTCTAAGAGTTGCTAGTAGTATTTGCAGATTCCTCTCAAATCTTAATTTTTAAATTTTCTCAGTCGAATTCTTGCTTATCATTTGTCCACATTTATTGACCTTTTACATTATCAGGTCATTAATCTGATGAATAGTGTATGCTCAGTCATTCAGTCAGTCATAATCAATGAAGAGCCTTAAACAAGTTTGAGTCGGCCCAAGTTTTCACAGTACATTAGCACGACTGGATAAAATTAACATTATGGATAGTAAATGAATTGAAATATTTTAGTGCCTATGGTAGCAAGAAAGATTCGTCACTGAGATTGTGGTTTTAACAAACGGGATGAAAAGGTATGTATGAAGGGATTGTAGAACTGTGGATTTAGAGATTGGTCGAAATTAAATGAATTTACATATGACAATGGCTGCTACCTTAACGTGCTGGTCGGTCTTGGATATTGTGATGAGTCAATTGACCTATATTACCTGGGACATTCGTTCCTCTAAGTCTTAACGTGATAAGCAGGTTAGTTAATGAGAAGTAGGGTCGAAAACATAAGAGTCGCAGCATCTGCATCTACTCTGTTTTCTGACAACAAGTGAAGTGGGCTTACAATAGATCGACCCTAAAGACAGTACACTTTACGTTACTCCATAGATTTCCAACTGTCTTTTGGGCACTTTAGTCACTCTTCTACGTCTTTAAAATCACTCTATGATTCTTTTTTTAACGTACCTCAAGATGAAGTATCTTTCAACTGTATGTACAAACTCGAAAGGGTAACTGGCCTCATACCCTTAACGGTACTTGAAAATTCTTCGTTCACAATCATATCATATCTTCATTGTTTATAGTGTAAACTGGTGTGGAGCGTACTAATTGATCATAATTGAGTAATCAAAACTGAGCGAATGGGTAAGTGAGCGAGCGCGAGAGAGAAAAAGCTACTGTACAATTTCTTAATTGACAAATCTAATAATTTCGTCATCATTTACTGTATAGTTGTCATAGCAATATCTTTTCATTGCTATAACCATTCTATGTTTATTCTTTTTCTATCACTTCAATTACACAATAATAATAAAGGCAAAAGATCATGCAAATCATTTGGTTAGCGAATTAGAAACAGTACAAAACGAATTAGCCATTGTCAAAGTGAATACAATGCAACAAAATGAAAAAGTGAATACACCTACAACAACATCAACTCTAATGCATACGGCTATTGAAAATGGTGGTGAATTTATTGAGTCTATCGAAAATGAAACTATTTCTAATGATGAAAAAACTATTAAAAACGGCAAAAGTTCTCATTTAATTTGTGATAATAACGGTAACAACAATAATCCTAACATAACAGTTGTTGACGAATTGCGTGTACAATTATCTACAGCTGAAGAACGTATTAAAGATATGGAAGTTGAAATGAATGAAATCCAGTCAGAATTACAAAGAGCTAGACAACGCGAACAATTAAATGAGGATCATAGTTCACGTTTAACTGCGACGGTATGTTTACTGAATGTTTGAATTTATTATAACATATACAGGAATCATGGTATAGATTGATGTTAGCCTTGTTTTAATTTCAACCATTTAAATACCCTACACAATTGGATCTACTGGACTATCATGTCTATTAATGATATTTTCATTTTTAACCGATCAAACTAATGATTATCTTCTTTTTAATTAATAACACCAATAACCGTGAACAGTGATTGAAGATTCAAACTCCAATTAACTCACACAATTTCTTTAGTCCCTAGTAGCCAATCAGAACACTAAGATTCCAAACAGATTTACCTCTTATTACTGTGTATATTGTCATCTTGACTGAAAAACCTCTAAGGATTACATACATCAGTTAAATGATCACAAAATACTACAAACAAGAAAAATCCTAACTTGTGCATAAAAATACTGAGCAATAGATATGTGGTATATGCTACTTATGTTGACAGATATTAGTAGTATGTATCACCGATAAGAAGTGGAATGCCTAGGAATCAGAGAGCAATCTTAATAACAACAGAACTGAAAGAATCATGCAGCATGTAAAAGACAACTAAAGGAATTTGTGCAAATAATGAATTTAATGTATAATTTTTATACTTTACGAAAGCACTCGACAATTTTGGATCAAACAATTAATTGGTTGTTTCCCCCTAAGTTCACATTCACCACAAATGCATAATTATTTAACCATAATTAGGAAACAGTAAAACACAAAACAACATTGAATAATTGAAATAAAAGCCTACGATAAAAGAAATATAACAATACCTCAAACTACGTATTTTATAAAAACATACATATATTAGCACTCCTTACTACCAAGACGAGATGGTTTGAAACGATACGAAGAATAGATATAACGTTACTTTATAAATAATGAAAGTTATTAATCTGTCATAAAAGATCTACAATATTTGAAAAAAATGTAAGGTGCGCCCTTTGTTAGCGATTGTACTGAAGTAACCCTTTTTTGTCTGAAAAGTCGCTTGTAAGAAAATTTAAGGTTGAAGATATATCACTTACTATAATTTGATATCTAGGATGAGTTACACCTACGTAATTAATACTTCTTTTGAATAATAAAGCTGAACTTTTTTCCTCAGAATTCCTTCTATTCTGATTGTTTTTTATCTATAATTTGTTTTATCTTTTAAAAGGTTGACAAATTACTATTGGAATCTAATGAACGATTACAGACACATTTACGTGAAAAAATGGCCGCATTAGAAGAGAAAAATCAATTACATACAGAATTAGATCGTCTTAGACGTCTTCTAGAAACAAGTCAAACAGAACGAGATCGAGCTCTAGCCGATATGGAACGATTAAGACGTAGTTCCGCTACAACAACGCCAACCGCACTTGCTTTACAAGGTACAGATTGACTATCACACTTACGTCATGATTATTTTAGTTATTGCTGGTAATTAACATTAGACAGTGAACTTAGTTTTATCAATTATGTAACAAGAAAAAGAAAAGTAGACCGTACCACTATTCACGTTCGTCTTTCTAAGATTGGATCAATGACTTAAAAAATGGTTTCGTGATACAATTTTCTCAAGTCACTAAGTTTGCAATTTTTTCGAACATCTCTGGTAGTAAGATAGAGAATAATGGAACTGAAATAATTGATGGTTTGAGAGAAAAAAACAGTAAAAGAATTGTAAATCGCATGATTATTTTTTGATACTGTGGAGTATTAGAGAAATCATATCGATATTAATCTCCATACTGAGAGAGCGATTGGATTATGCCATATTGATCTTAATAGAGTTTCATTAACACTGCTAAGGAATTTAGAAAAATACAAGATGGAAATTTCTGTTATTGTGTAAAGACACAGCAAAACAGTTAAACTTGGAGAAATTATTCGAAAACATCTAGTTTTATTCTACTACTGAAAGACGAATATGCAAATGAAGTTTTTCTTATTGTATCATTCGGTGATTTTACTTTACCAATAATAAAGTTCTTTTCATTGCTTTAATCTCCAGGTAGTATTCATCACAGGTTGATCTTATTTTGCGCACCATTGAAAACCAGACAAAAGTGAATATGTCTTGTTTTATTATGGGACTCCTCAGTGGTGTCCACGTACGACATCACTAGCAGTCGGACCCAGGATCTTCAGCTATTTTTCTAGTCGCTAGAACCATTGGGTCAGGATCCAGCTGTGCTGTTTCAACTGCAGATAACTTGTTATTTAACTTGACGATTCTCCAATGCTCTTGGAAATAACTGTCTATCTCTCGACCTATCTGAACTCTATAAATTGAAATATCTCACTAAGGATTCAGGAACATCTTAGAGTCCCATACTACGACAAAACAGATGTCCAATGAACCTTGATTTTTTACGATAACCTAAATGTGGTCGATCTTTGATGAGTACTATTTAGAAATTAAATCAATTTCCACAAAATCCTTTCGAATAAATTGGTTTCATTGATGTTATTTTCTTTTCAATGTCAGGTGACTCGTATTCCAGTGGTTCTCATAGCCTTCGTAGAATGCCTCGTAATGCTTCCAGCAGTAGAACAGATCAAGTATGTCATTGTTTTATTTTTTTGAATATTATGTATAGAACATCAAATATGCAATTCAAAAGCATTTGTCTTTTTTAATGGTACTATAATATCTAATTATCAGTAATAATAAACTTACATTGATTTCAAAAATTAGGTTTTTGACGTTTACTATTGCCTTTTAATCACTGGTTATTGACAAAATCTATTAAGTTTCCAGGTTTAAACTATAATATGTCATCATCTGGAAGCTGATTTTGTTTACTTGATAAAATCATGTATAGAACGCAAACTATTACTTAACTCGATTAGCAAGAATGTTTTACACTGGAGAACTGAGTAATGGCGTCTTCAAAATTAAATAAAAAATATGAGAGAACACAAATTTTAGAGATAATTTTTTTCTGTTATCTATGTTTAGTTAAGAAACATATATCCAATACATTTTACTCATCAACACTAAAGAAATGATTTATCAAATAGTTTTCGATATCATGAAATGTTTATGTCAATCTCTATGGTGATTATGACTGACTGGAAAAGTTCGTACACTAAATACACATAGTATTTTAGTCAAGTAGCATTGTAATCTATGGCAGAATATATGTATATTCTTTTGGTTAATACATTTTGTGATATTTTAAAATTATCTTTCGTAAGTTCTTTGTAGTATTTTAACTCACAAAGTGTGGATGTATTATGCTTTATTATTATTATTATTATTAGAGATGAGATTTTAGAGTGTTTATAATATAAATCACGGGGACTAAATAGGTACTTTGCATATTAAAGAATTGTATGCATTTATTAATTCTATCATTTTCGTGTGGGTGGAATTCTGCCGAAATTTATTTTATTACATTAAGATCTAATTCATTGGAGTTGTGGTTGTTTTTGATTAGAAAACTATTATATTCTTTCTATGAAACTAAGCATTGTACTCATCATACATTTTTGTATGCATTTTATGTACCATTCTAATATTATTAAACATCTACGTTTTTAGTCAATATGTTGTCATATATAGTAGTTATTTACAAATATCGTTATTTCATTGTTTTATAGGTGTCACAAACAGTGGTTGAATAAATTACCATCCGTACTTTGAATAAGTGTGATTTTAAATACTATATTTTTAAACAGTTGTCAGCTACAATGATTCATAAGTATATAACATTTTGATACTTTAATTGAACCTTATGTTATCTCATGATATTAATCATGAAGATTGGAAAGAGGTTTAATTTTTATGCTTATTGTTATCTTTACCATTAGATCAGATAGGCTAGCTATTTAATGGAATAGCAACTGGGTGTAAGTTTGTTACATATGCTAAGTTAAACTATATTATCTTCGTATTTAGACGGTTATATAGTGGTGCTTGAGTAGAAATCAAATCTTCATATACTGACTAACAGTAAAGTCTTAAATCCATTGAGTTATAATATTGTAGTATTCACTTCAAACTATTTTCGTTTCAGAGGTCTGTATAATTCTTTCAAAATAAAATCCATTTCTTGATCAATTATCTGTCAATTGTATAGCCTTTCACTTCTAGAAAATGAATCTGTCTTCTAGAATACATACAACTGAAGACAATCGGATAGAGCCACATCAATTACTGAAGCATTGACGCATTGCTCAGTTTAGTTAGATCTAGTTTAAATCGTGGAAAAAATAAGTTGCAATACCATTATAATGAATCAAACTAGTTGTCGATTACTTACATCAATATTTATTATTCTGTATTTAGTCACATATATGTTTCGTCTTTCCAAATTAATCGGTAAATGATCTTTGTCTACACTAATTATGTTTATTATAAGAACCTCTTATCTGCTAGTTGTAGGCTCGTGGAAAATCTTGTTGCCCTTAGGCATTCAGGCAGCAACTATAGCCCCCTAGGTTATGTGGTTCTTGACATTTTATCGATGCTTTACACACTTCAGAAAGCTAACTTTAACATCTCTGGCTATAAAGTCGTGTGATTACTCTTTGTAACTCAGTTACGATGTGTTGCTTGACAGGTTTTCTTGCTATTTAGCTATTTCCACTGAAATTCTATTGTACAATAACGCGATAATGGTGCATTAAATTAATTAATGAATAATCCATTATTTTACTAGTATAGTACAATTATCATTATGAATTTAGTTGTCATGTGATACGCATTATTGATAGTAAATGTGTTTCCAGAGGAATGAGAAGATTCATTATCAATTATTTTTATTGAACTATGTCTAATAGGCGTATTTGATTGGCATATATTTTTAAATAATCTAACTGACAATGAATATTATTGAATAGGTTCGTAGAGATTCCTAAATTTTATAGTTTACATCACAAACTGGTCGTAGTTAGAGAACTATTGAGAACCACGAAGCCTTTGACGGCTGTTTCGCTCCAGCACGAGGCTCCTCAGCGGTGTGTATTCACGATCTCATCAAGAATCGAACCCAGGACCTCGAGGTATCGCGGAGATCACTAATCCTATAAACCATTAGTTTGACACCCAGTAGTTTACATTTCTCACTTCAGTCAGTTCACAATATTTCGTGACTAGGAATGATACTTTTTTCGTATATTTTGACAAATAATAAGAATATTTGGAAGAAAGGTAAATTTCATGATTAAATGCAAAATTGTAGACTTTTGATTTTTATACACTCGTAATCTACAGATAAATTTGGGCGGTCTATAAGAAAAAAATGGTATTGAGAACAACAATAGTCACAGCAGAATAAGTCATGAATTCTCATTTATCTTTCGTGAATTCTTTTCAAATACTTACAACCTAAACACAAAATAGTATAAATCATTAAAAATAAAACAATTTTACACTTATTTTGTATTAGATATGTATGGGTTAAATTACGTTAGAAATATAGAGAAGTTTGGATAGTGGAAACTAACCATAGTTGTTGAGAGATTAAAAAAAATGTTGTTCGTTCGATTTTTAATCTAGAAAATTACCAGATAAATATTAAACCAAAGCATTGAAACAAAATTTTAGATACAGCAGAATAATCTCATAGGCTATTTAATAATAAATGAGAGGAACGATATAAACGTGATAGGCAAAACTCAGATATAAAACAAAAGAGGATAAAGAAAATTATAATTTAAGGCATGTGATAAAAAACGTTGGTATTTAGCTAATCCAAAAGTTCAGTGCATTTAATGTTACTATTGATACATTCAAAATACAAGTTTACTCAAGAAATACTTATTTTCAATTAGTTCTTTATGAAAACACTAATAAATGTAGGTTTTACGGTTAAGTATAAAATCTATATCAACTAAATATTTTAAGCAGAGATGAATGGTGGCTAACAGGGAACGTTTGTTTCGTTCTATTCGGGTCTTACCAGTTTGGTGTACCAGCATCCTAGATGTTCACTCCGGGACTCAAACCCAGGTCCGTTGACTTCGAACGTCATTGTATGACTCACTTAGCTAATAATTCCAGAAAACCATTGGGTTATGAGACGGGATAAATTGGTTATTTGAAACCTCTTATTGATGTTTAGTACTGCGATTGGTCAGTCTCTTATTGGTATATGTGCACCCTGTGTGGACTGTCTCGATATTTCCATTAAATCATAAGAATTTTTAAGCAGAGGTGATTCGCACAGAATGCACATATGCGAATTAGAAATGGACCAACCAGTATAAATAAATTAATTAAATAGTGAATTGTCAATTCAACAACATGGTAATCAGCTAGCAACGCAAGGTTCGCAAAATTAAAATTAAACCTAAGATGAAATTTATCACAACTGAATGCATAAGATTTAGACTGACTACAGTATTCTTTTTTATTAATACACTAAGTTTAAGTCTTCTAGTCAAAATGTTAGCAAAGCGTAGTAAATTCGAGGTTGTTTACTTATTGTTTATCGTAAAAGACATTGAAACATCAGCATCCTTTCCACTATCAAGTAGATGACGTGGGATTGGTTGTATCACTGAAAGCATACTGTCCTTTCAGTGACCACCTTTTTGAGAATTTTTTTGTAGATTTTGGTATCAATACTTCTTCTTGATCTTTCAATATATTTGTTTCGCCCCGTACTTGTAACCTGGCAGATAAGTTGAAGGTGACACAAGGCAAGAAATCGGCCGTATGTGACTGTCTAAACGAGCATGGAGTCTAGCTTTGCCGGTTAAATTGCTGTTTATTTGTGTTAGGTTATGTTATATTTACTAATGATTAATTAAAATAAATTTGAGGCTTTCATCTTTAATGTTCACTCTCTAAAAGCGGTCAAAGTTCAGATTTAGATAGGTCACTTAATTTAATGCTCTTAAGTTACAGTAGATAATGTTCTTTAGGTATAATAATTACACAGTGAGTCTATTCATTGTATACTAATTAGTCAACTTTGTAGCGTGGGAAACAAATGTGTACTTCGAGATTTCTAAATTTGTTTTTAATCTATAATAAACTCTCCTTCTTCACAAAACGAGGATATTTCACAAGTTAAGCATTATATTTGAGATCGAGAATCCGAACATTTTAGAAATTAGATTTTGCACTTGCATCGATATAGATCATTTGAACGGCATTTTTGTCAGCTTGATTTACAAGCAAATCACCGTTAATTTTCGTCCTAGCCCCTATACTCAGACGTATGAAATGCCAAATGCTTTCTCAATAAATCATTGTAGTATTTAGCATATTTAACGAACTGTAAGGATTCTGATTTTTCTTGTTGACATTCTCGATTGAGTTTGTTCAATCCCTGTTGGTGCATGGGCTTTTTTTAAAACCAGATGTGTCGATATTATCTGTATAATGAAGGCTTCGATGAATGTTTTATAAAACTTAGTTTAAATAATGCCCCCATAATCACGTCAACTTCATTTATGTTACGTTGGCAGCTCTAGAAAATTGTTCGAACAACCTTTCTGAAAGTGGAAAAAGACTGAAAATACTTCATGCAATGAGTCCTCAATGGGAAATTTTTTTAGAGATTTCTAGCAATGTATTGGATTGTATGTTACCTTATTTTTTATCA